GCTAAGACGATCTCACTCTTCCACACCGATAACCACACCCATTATGAGAACTTCTTTTCAAAATAGAACCCCTGTGTTCCTTTATTGGAAACAGCTTCTCATAAAAGAACAATTTTTTTTGGAAACGAGAAGCTTCACTACTATGCCAATACATTCCTAATGCTAATGCTAAAGTATTAAATTAAATTTTTAATCATAATGCAAAGTAATAAAACGTACATTAAATTAACGCAATATTAATGGTAGGCTGACATCATTACTTACTATTTACTATTCTTCTTTCTGTTACTATTATAACTATGACATCGCTGAATTACTCTGCTGTTTGGTTTTTTGTTCTTTCCTGATCTCTTCTAGACTATGTTCGTCAGCTTCAAATTTAGCCAATAAAAGGTACTAAACTAAAGTGAACATGATTTGAATCCAATCATCAAAGAACTATTTTATAAGTTCCAACAATTTGATAGCAGAAGAGCATATCAGCACTTGTAAGTTGAACGCATTAGCTAATTAAACACTATGCATGTGATGCATTATGATATCAGGTTAAGTATTTTAGTATTATAACTCAATAGAGATGGTAACATATGTCATATATCTTTTAGAGATACAAGAATGTAGAAAGAAAAGATTACCAGTGATGCTTGGAAATTTTATTAACATGAAATCTCTCTTTTTCTGGTCATTTGTACAAACCTAAAGCTAAATAAAACAAGCGTATTCAAGTTTCTTTCAAAATATCTTTTGCTAGTTTTGAGCAATTTATTAATGCTGCTTTCGAATTCAACAAAATAGGCAGACGAACAGATGTGCATATATATATATTACAATAGGCTTTTGCTTAAAGAAAATGATAGAATTCCAGGAAAGAACAACATCTATTGAATAATATCTTACACAAACTACAAAAAGCCGATTTTTCAAGTGTTTTATGCAATTACAGTAACTGTTGACCGAACTCGTCTTCGGCGATACATAACAATATATCGTGCAAATTTCACTGCAAGTGGAACGGTAAGTTTAAGTATAACAGTCAACCCACCAGAAAGACCGATAATGGTAGTAAAAACATAGAATTTACCGAACCGCTTGCTCAGTGAATAAGTACAGTAAAGAGGAGCACATGCTCTATAGTAATATTCATACAAGACGTTTACATTCCATTGTTCGACCATAACAATATCCACTAGAGACTGAACAAGAACACTGGATGATGATCGTGTCAAATTAAGAGCTCGAAAAGTCACGTCTGATGTGAAATTGTTTGGTTTGATCTTGTCTATACATGTTACATCATAGAGACATTCAAGAGTAGATTGTAGAAGAGATTCAATTGGATTACAACCAACTCGAAATCCGGGAACAAACCATCCCTCGATAAATGCCGGTGATGAACATGCTGAGCTAGAGCCACAAACGCAAGTACTATTTGCATATGAACGTGGCAATAGGGTGAGAGTGAGTTTCCACAGGTACTCTTCTCCTATGTAGTGATCAATATACCAATTTGATAGTGTCGATGAGATCATTCTGTTGCCATTCTGTACGTCCTTAATGAAATCGAATTGCAGGAGGAATGCTTTACTTGTTGTTGAATGAAACCGTGTGACAACAGAACTCATTTGTGATAGAATAGTATGATTGGACTCAGCTCGTTGACTAATCAATGTGGCTGACATGAATGCAGATAGTGCTTCGGTCACTGTATCGTGAGCAATAGTGCATAAAGAGGCAAGCCCTCGAAATACTGGCACAGCGAACATTCGAAAGTCATCATAGATATAATTGGAACTGGGTGTAAATGAAGAAAAAAGTGTAAGCCATTGAACATTCGAGATGACAAAGTCACTTGAACAGATTTGATGAAAATGGGGAAGAATCTGAACAAACCTATGGTATGGAATAGTAAAGTTCTGACAGGTACAATCTAGACTCGGCTGGGAGTGGGGGTTTGGCTAACGTTGATTGAAGTTTG